GTACAACGCCATAGATAAAATAATAATAATAATAACTTTCTCGTGTTGATCGAAGAAAACGTGCACCAAAAGAAACCCTCGAATGCTGAAGGACTAAGGATGATACTTAAAAACTAAATGATCAAAAAAAGAGTCACAAGCATAGTTTTCAAGATATTAGATGATTCGATATGAAATGGAACTGAATTCTTTAACCACAGATCGGAGCTTTAGATTAAAACCCTAAAGTTCAATCAAATGCAACAAATAGAAAGCCGTAGGAATATTATTATTCAGAATGAGAAAGATCGGAACGATATCGAAATAACCAGGGTCGATAAAAATCGATCCTTCTTCTTACCGGAACGCGTAGACCCCTTTCGCTCCTTCGGCCGCCGAGGTCCAAGAGAGCTATGTAATTTACCGAGGCTGGTTTATAAATGGTGGGGTTTTAGAAACCCGAAACTTTTATCGATTAAAAAAGTCGTTATTGCCCTTGGTGTTTGCGTTGTGATCTCTCCGTAAAAAAATATTATTGTAAAAAAATATTATTGTTGTAATCTTGTTGTTATATCTACATACATTATATATATCAAAAGTAAGAATCAAACATGAAATGTAAATGTAAATAGACAAGAGAAGAAATATGGAGAAAAGTGATTCTCATTTTATTCATCTTCCCCATTCCTCCTTACATTTTGTAGTCCATGACATACATTATATAGATGGATAATAAGAATGTTAGACCCTAGAGGGGGGGTGATTAGGGTCTTATGCTAATCTAATCCGATTATATGCCAATTAAAAAGTTATCCTAGCAAGTATGAAATACAACAAGAATATAAGTTAGGATAAGCAATATGAATAATGAGATATATGCTATACGATAGAAATATATGCAAGGATATATAAACAATAAGATATATCCTAACAAAGAGATATAGACAATGTATGTGCAGGGATATAAAACTAACACAAGGGTAAACAATATGAACTAGATAGTGGATCATATAAATAATGAGCTAATGACAATGGCGACAAGAAATATAAACACAAGTATAAATAAACACCAAAGCACACTCAAACACAAGATATGATCACGGAGTTCGGACCTTCCGTCCTACGTCTCCGCTCCCCACTCCCGGGGAGAAATCCACTATCACAACCGGGTTTTCTACGCTCACCCGAATAACGTTTACACCTCACAGTGTCGGTTTTCAACGCTCACCGAACAACGTTCACTCCTCACACTCGGTTTTCTAGTTCACCGAAAACTTCACAACACACTCGGTTTCTAGCTCACCGAAAACCTAACAATCTCACAATGTAACAAATATAAATTGTTCTCTAATATGGATGAGAACACAATAAAAGCCTAACAACCCTAATCTACTATGTATGCAAATACAATAAGCTCAAAGTGAGTGTGTGTAACAATGAGTGAAATCAAATCTAAACTCAATATAAAACTAGCTTTAATAGAAATGATAATTAACAAATAATTAATAAATAAAAGCTAGAGTAGAGTTTAGAAAACTTCTCAATAGATCAAGATGGAGAGATGGAAATTTGAGGCCCAAACAAGAAGATAATCTCCTCCACTTGTGAAAGCTAAAACAGCTTTAAAACAAACCCTTAAACAAGCTTAAAACAAGCTTAAACTCTTTTTAAAACCATTGTTTAAAACTTCTTGGATTTTAAAAGAGAACAGCAATAGGGTATTTATACCCACTCTAAATCTTAGTCAAAACCCCTAACAAAAGACAAAAACAGCCCCAGCAAACAGCTCAGGAAATAGCCGTTGGGAAAGCAACGGATCTATTGCCGGTCGACCGGAAATTTTGTCGGTCGACCGCGATCCAGATCCCAACCAAAGAAATGTGCGGTCGACCGATGGAAATTTTTAGCTCTCGGTCGACCGCACCGGTCGACCGACAGACTTTCTGTTGCCCAGAAACAAATGAACAATTGAGCCGTCGACCGGTGCGGTCGACCGAAAACTGATATTACAGAAAAACAGGTTTTGGAGCTGATTTTTTAGACTTTAGAAAATATGTTAAAAATAACAAATAAAGTCCAAAAATAATAAAACTTTGGGAAATGTATATAAACATGTAAATGAACATGTTACAAAAAGAATTTCCCAAATTGCATTTCCCATTTGTGAAAAAACATTATTTTGTAAAATAGTCCGAAACACAAAAATGGAAACATGTGAATTCTAACATTTTGGCTAAACCATGTTTTGAAACTTTACACAATGATTATATAGACTTAATAAAGTATGTATATGATTATTGTTAAGTCTAAAAACTAAGAATACAATATTTTTACAAAATTGCATATTCTATGCAATAAATACTAAAACACAATAGAGTATGAAATATGTAATATCATAAAAACCAAAACACATGTATGTATATATATAACTATATATATGCATAGAAACCAAAAACTTAAGTATATATATATAACTATATATATATACGAAGAAACCAATAAATGTGTGTGTATAGATATTGAGCTTAACGTATTTAACACACATAATATAAACCTATACTAAATTACCCAAGCCGATCTTGATCTTCAATAAGCTTGACTTGGTACACGTTGCGGATGAAGCTAAACTTGGATCTTGAACTTGAATTGTACGATGCTTCACCGACATTCCGCCAACCTCCTCTTGATATGATCGTGTAGGCTTAATCCATCCAACCTCCAACTACGTTGTTTGTCTATAATAAATAAGAAAACACAAATACTTGACAAACAACATTAGTGGTAAATTGTTTGTTAAACATCATCAAAACAAGAAGGCTAACAAAGAAGACTAAAGAACATTGGCTAATGAAGAGTCATCTAATTAATTGTCCATATTCAAGTAATGTCCACATTCATCTTATCTTCTAGATTTCAACACTCCCCCTTGGACATTATTTCGTGATGTCAATGCCTCGTTAAAAATCTCGCTAGAAAAAACCCAGTGGGAAAAACTAGTCGAGGAAAAGAGTACATGACATACATACATTATTTCTATTACATCAGTTATCTCGTTAAAAATCTTTCGCTAAGAAAAACCATGTAGGACAAAAACTTAGCAAAGGAAAAAAGAGTACAATTATAGATCTTCGGGATCCAAACTTGTGTTGCATTAGCTGCCTCGTTAAAAACCTTTGGCTAAGAAAACCCAGCGGGACAAAAACTTAGCTAAGGAAAAAAGAGTACAACTACCGCTTTCGGGGTTTGATCTTCAGGATTATTCTGAAGAATAATTCGCTCCCCCTCAAGACAACAAACATTCAAATCTATGCATACCGTGGTGGCCAAGCACGATACCATGCATAAAATTAAAAGTTGATGTCTTAAGGGATTTGGTGATCAAATCGTCTAGATTATCACTACTTAGAGCGAACTTATCTATGTTAATTTTATTGTTATTTTCGAGCGCAAGTGGATAAAAACTTTCTACATCTCATTTATGCAACAGAAGTTACATTGTCCTTAGAAAAGACAGTGGAGGTAATATCCTCGTTTAATATGCCACACGATCATCGAATGTGTTTTATCAGCGATTTGAACCTTACACGTTCGCATGAGGCACATATAGAGGAACAATCTCTGAGTGGTTTTAACTAGTAAACGTTGTATGTTTAATAGACCTCCAAGAAATAACAGTACCATTACAGAAAAATATAACCAGTCAGAGATTTGGCAATATGAGGATCAGTCATATAACCAACATCAGAATAGCCCACCAAATGTCATATTTCGATTTCTTTTATAGAATAAACAAAGATCTCTTGAAGATACCAGAGGATATATTTAACATTATTTCAATATCTCCTTTCGGGAGATGCACTAATTCTTGCTAGCATGTGTAACACAAATGCAATATCAAGCATGGTGCAATTTATAAGATAAATAAGTGCTTCAATAGCGTGCTCAAATACGGGACTTCGGGTCCTAAAATATCCTCGTTGTCTTCTTTATGTTTGCATGGGTCTTTATCCACTTCAAGGGATTTAACAACCATTGGTGTACTAAGTTCATGAGATTTATTCATTTAAAATTTCTCCATGACCTTCTTCAGGTAGGTTGACTGGTATACCAATATTTATTTAGGAACATGCTCGATCTGCAAGTCGAGACAATACTTGGTTTTTCCCAAGTTTTTTCCCCGTTTCAAACTCCGTCTTTAGGCATGAGCTAGCTTCTGTAAGCTCCTTGTGCATTCCAAGAACATTTATATCATCAATATAGACTGAGATAATACAGAAGTCATTTTCGAATTTCTTTATAAACACACAAGGGCAGACATTATTATTTGCATATCTTCTCTTCAGGAGGAACTCACTCAGTCGGTTATATCATATTCTACTAAACTATTTCAAGTCGTATAACGACCTTTGTAATTTAATGCTATACATGTTGCGATTTTCGTTTTCTCTCAATTCAGGAATTTTAAGTCCATCAGGGACTTTCATATAAAAATATTAGCGTCTAATGACACATATAAAAATGTGGTCATGACGTACATATACTGCATATATAAATTCATAGTTTCTGCCATAAGTATTAACTTACGGAACGTAATACAATCACTTTTAGGAGAATATTTTACATCTAAATCGATGATGGGTCTATGCGTGAACCCATTGAGCTATGAATCTCGCTTTATATCTCACAACCTTACAATTCTCATTTATTTTTATTACGAAGACCCATTTATATCCTGCAGGAATATATAGACTACAGGTTCAAAATACTTTAGTGAGTTCAGCCTCAATTGCCACTTTCCATCTCACCTAGTCTGAGTGCTTCAAGCACTCTGCTACCGACTTAGGTTCTGGATCCAGATTATTTTCGGAGATAATAAGAGCAACTGTAGAGGTAACTATGTTGTCGACAACTTTTATATTTCTATTATATATTTCTCCTTTTTCACAAATTCGTGATCACTTTAATTCTTATTTTATGTCAACCAAATCCTCTTCATTTCCCTTAACAATTGGATTTGGTCATTCCGCATCTCTAATATTATTATTATCAAGTGCACGTGCAATTTACTGGAGATTTCGTCTTTAGGACAAGCCTCTTCCGGAGGTTATGGGAGTGACTGTCTTTCTATATTAGATTTGGTGTGCCGCGAACTTTTATCTTTTTCACTAACAAGTTACCTATGCTTCTGGTGCAGTACGCTTCTGGCGTACTAAATCATCAATGATATACTCAACATGAATATGAGGCTTAGTCACTCTTTTCTTAGCAAATTATCATGTGAATTTCTGGTTCAGTTTGACTAGTACGTGGATATAAATATTGAAGATCTTTTTCATCAATGGAATTTCTTAACATTATTTTGTATTTTGGGCACTAATCTCCCCCTAATATCAAGAATCGATCTTCAATAAAAATGCGGTCAGCGTACCAAAAT